TGGTCAAGAAAACCATCCTGTACACACTCCAGGAAGTCCTCCTCTACGGCGTTGTGGCTAATTTGATTTGCCCAATCTGTGTGTAGATTAAAATCACCCATGATCACCGATATTCCCTTATCACATGCATCTCTAATTTCCTGTTTAATGCCATTCTCGACATCACCACTGCAGTTTGGGGGTCTATATATGACATCTACTAATGTTTTTTGCCCCTTGGTATTTCTTAACTCTACCCATACATATTCCAGAGATAGTAGGAACTGCAGATGCTGGAGAATCTGAGATAACAAGGTGTAGAGCTGGATGAACACAGCAGGCCAAGCAGCATCAGAGGACCAGGAAAGCTGACGTTTCGGGCCTAGACCCTTCTTCAGAAATGGGGGAGGAGAAGGGGATTCTGAAATAAATAGGGAGAGAGAGGGAGGCAGATAGAAGGTGGATAAAGGAGAAGATAGGTGGAGAGGAGACAAACATGTCAAAGAGGCGGGGATGGAGCCAGTAAAGGTGAGTGTAGGTGGGTGGTTAGGGAGGGGATAGGTCAGTCCAGGGAGGACGGACAGGTCAATGGGGCGGGATGAGGTTAGTAGGTAGGAGATGGGCGTGGGGCTTGATGTGGGAGGAAGGACAGGTTAGGGAGGTGGGGACAAGCTGGGCTGGTTTTGGGGGAAGTTGCGGTTCTTGAAAAGCGAGGACATCTGAGATGTTCAGGAGTGGAATGCATCATCCTGGGAGCAGATGCAGCGGAGGTGAAGGAATTGGGAATAGGGGATGGCATTTTTGCTGGAAGGTGGATGGGAGGAGGTGTATTCTAGGTAGCTGTGGGCTAGCTGACGGTAGGCTTGAAATGGATATCGGTTTCCAGGTGGTTGCCAGAGATGGAAACAGAGAGGTCTAGGAAGGAGTGAGGGGTATCAGAGATGGTCCAGGTGAACTTAAGGTTGGGGTGGAAGGTGTTGGTGAAGTGGATGAACTGTGGGAGCACGAGGCGGCGCCGATACAGTCATCAATGTAACGGAGGAAGAGGTGGGGCTTAGGGCCAGTGTAGCTATGGAAGAGGGATTGTTCCACGTAACCTACAAACAGGCAGGCATAGCTTGGGCCCATGCGGGTACCCATGGCCACCCCCTTTTTCTGTAGGAAGTGGGAGGAATTGAAAGAGTTGTTAAGGGTGAGGACGAGTTCAACTAAGCAGATGAGGGTGTCAGTGGAGGTGGACTGGTCGGGCCTGCGGGACAGGAAAAAGTGGATGGCCTTTAGGCCATCTGCATGGGGAATGCAAGTGTATAGGGACTGGACATCCATGGTAAAGATGAGGTGTTGGGGAGCAGGGAATTGGAAGTTTTGGAGGTGGTGGAGGTTGTGGGTGGTGTCACAGACGTAGGTGGGGGGTTGCTGGACCAAGGCGGAGAAAATGGAGTCGAGATAAGTAGAGATAAGTTTGGTGGGGCAGGAGCAGGCGGAGACAATGGGTCGACCAGGGCAGTCAGGTTTGTGGATTTTGGGAAGGAGATAGAAGCGGGCGGTGCGGGGTTGGGGAACGATGAGTTGGAGGCTGTGGGTGGGAGGTCACCTGGAGTGAAGAGGTTGTGGATGGTTTGGGGGATGATGTTTTGGTGGCCGGGGGTGGGGTCATGATCAAGGGGGCGGTAGGAGGAGGTGTCGGAGAGTTGGCGCCTGGCCTCAGCAATGTAGAGGTCAGTGCGCCATACTACAACTGCGCCTCCCTTGTCCGTGGCTTTTATGGTGAGGTTGGGATTGGAGCAGAGGAAGCGGAGGGCTGCACGTTCTGTGGGGGAGAGGTTGGAGTGGGTGAGAGGGGTGGAGAGGTTGAGGCGATTGATGTCTCGACGGCAGTTGGAGATGAAGAGGTCGAGGGAGGGTAGGAGAACTTGGGGTGGTGTCCAGGAGGAGGGGGTGTGTTGGAGGCGGGAGAAGGGGTCAGTAGGGGGAGGGTTAGGCTCACGGTTAAAGAAGTAAGCGCGGAGGCGGCACAAAAACTGTTCAACGTCCACGAGTGAGCGGTATTCGTTGATGTTCGGGTGGAGGGGGATAAAGGTGAGCCCTTTACTGAGGACTGACCGTTCGTCCTCAGTAAGGGGGAGGTCTGGGGAGATGGTGAAGACCCAGCAGGGCTGGGTGTTATTGTCTCCTCTGGAGCTGCTGGCTGTGGAGGCGGTGGGCGGAGCAACGTCAGTGATGGGCGGAGCGACGTCGGTGGTGGTCAGTTTTCAAGGACCGCAACTTCCCCCCCCTCAGTGGTCGAGAATGCCCTCGACCGTGTCTTCCCCATTTCCCACAACTCATCCCTCACACCCCCTCCCCGCAATAAAAACCAAAACAGAATCCCCCTCATCCTTACGTACCAACCCACCAACCTCCGGATCCAATGCATCATCCTCCGACACTTCCGCCATCTGCAATCCGACCCCACCACCAAAGACATATTTCCCTCCCCACCCTTATCTGCTTTCCGGAGGGACCACTCTCTCCGGGACTCCCTTGTCTGCTCCACACTCCCCTCCAGCCCCACCACACCCGGCACTTTTCCCTGCAACCGCAGGAAGTGCTACACCTGCCCCTACGCCTCCCCCCTCACCCCCATCCCAGGCTCCAAGAAGATCTTCCACATCAAGCAGATGTTCACCTGCACATCTGCTAATGTGGTATACTGTGTCCGCTGTTCCAGATGTGGCCTCCACTACATCGGGGAAACCAAGCGGAGGCTTGGGGACCGCTTTGCGGAAGATCTACGCTCGGTTCGCAACAAACAACTGCACCTCCCAGTCGCGAACCATTTCAATTCCCCCTCCCACTCCTTAGACGACATGTCCATCCTGGGCCTCCTGCAGTGTCACAACGGTGCCACCAAAGGTTGCAGGAACAGCACCTCATATTTCGCTTGAGAACCCTGCAACCCAATGGTATCAATGTGGAATTCACAAGCTTCAAAATCTCCCCTCCCCCTACTGCATCCCAAAACCAGCCCAGCTTGTCCAAGCCTCCCTGACCTGTCCTTCCTCCCACTATTCCCTCCTCCCACCTCAAGCCCCACCCCCATCTTCTACCTACTAACCTCATCCTGCCCCCTTGACCTGTCCATCCTCCCTGGACTGACCTATCCGCTCCCTAACTCCCCACCTACACTCACCTTTACTGGCTCCATCCCCGCCTCTTTGACCTGTCTGTCTCCTCTCCACCTATCTTCTCCTTTATCCATCTTCTATCCGCCTCCCCCTCTCTCCCTGTTTATTTCAGAATCCCCTTCCCCTCCCCCATTTCTGAAGAAGGGTCTCGGCCCGAAACGTCAGCTTTCCTGGTCCTCTGATGCTGCTTGGCCTGCTGCGTTCATCCAGCTTTACACCTTGTTATCCCATACATATTCCACTCTGTCAGAGCTAATATCCTTTCTCACTATTGTGCTAATTTTCTCTTCAACCAGCAATGCCCCTCTGCCACCTTTTCCTTTTTGCCTTTCCTTTCTAAGTACTGAATATCCTGGGATATTCAGTTCCCATTCCTGGTCACTCTGGAACCATGTCTCCGTAATCCCAATTACATTATAGCATGATTTAATCAAAATATGCCACAGGCTCATGGGCTGAATGGTCTACTCCTAATTTTTGGGTTTTGTTGTAAATGTTCAATTATTGAATATGTTTAAGGCTGAGATAGGCATGTGGTGTGCAGGTAGAAAAGTCACATCATGGCCAAAGATCAGCCACAGTTGTATTTTAATGAAATAGCAGGATTTCCTACTACCTATTTCTTTCATCCTCAAATTCTAATATAGCAGTATGTTGCTTCCACATTACTGTTTGAAATAAAAATAGGAATACAAAATATTCAATGCATTGAATCCATCCTTACTGAGTTTTAAAAATTCACTCGAGGCAAATTGGTGTTGAACCCCAAACAAAAACAGAAGTTGCTGGAAAAGCTCAGCAGGTCTGGCAGCATCTGTGAAGAAAAAATAAGATTTAACGTTTCGGGTCCGGTGACCCTTCCTCTTTGAAAGAGACTGGAGAAAGGAAGGGTCACCAGACGTGAAACGTTAACTGTGACTTTTATCGACAGATGTTGCCCGACCCGCTCAGTTTTTCCAGCAACTTCTGTTTTTGATCCTGATTTACAGCAGCCCCAGTTCTTTCGGTTTTTGTTAATATAGTATTGAACCCCAGTTGTCATCCCAGAGCAGAATTTGAGTGCGTCTCACATTCGTAACATGTTATTGAAGTGTAAAGATGAAATTCGGGGCATACAATAGCAATAGATGCTCCCAATTTTGAACCACGTGCGTTGGCAAAGATGCTCTGCAACGACTGGGGATATAAACCATCTCCATGACTTTTCAAGCTTGCCCCATGGTCTGCCCTGTGTTGATAGGACGGGTCAGGGATCGTGCTCGCGGTCACATGCCTCCAGGTCCTAGTTTCGTAACGAACTAAATCAGCACTCGAGCGGGATCAGCCGATCCCTAGTGATTCTTTCTTCTCCCTGCGGTCTAACATTAACCGAGGACTTACGAACGTCACACACTACTGCCACAACCGCGTTCTCTAACTTCTGAAGAAACAAAACACCACCGTTTCACCCCGTGAGCAGAGGACTGGCTCCGAAGGGGCGGAGGAGACACGTGGGGAAGAGGCGGGGTCAATGGGTGAGGGACAACGCTCCCAGCCAATCGATTCAGCGGTACTGGGGACCACGTGGCAGAAACTGGGCGGAAACCATGATTAGGCGACAGCCTGCCTAGCCAATCGTTGTGAGAGGGCGGGGAAGGAGATCACGTGGGACGGCAAGGGGCGTGATCAATTTATAAGTGACGGTTCAATTGGCCAATGAGCCTGCTTGGATCGCGGGTCAATCTGAATGGGCGCGGGCAGGGACGAACCTGACTGGACTGACGGATGGGGTGGGGATCGATCCTGCACGCACGTAGCCATTCGGATCCCGGGTGCGGGCAGTGAGGGGCGGGTTTTCGATGGGGCTGAGCCAATCGGATTCGGCCGCCCGGCAATAATGGGCGCGGCCTCGCTCTTTTCGACGATGGACTGAAAGAACAAAAGAAACAAAAAAAAACCCAGGGGCGCTGGCGCTTTTGTAGAAAGAAAATTATTTTTTTTAAAAACGGCGTAAAAAAAATCAAAAATCTTTATTATTTAATGAGGAACAAATATTTAATGTTAGTCTTGCCCTGTTAACATTATAACAATGCCGAGTAGTACAGTGTTTACAGACATGGAGCGGGACGACGGCGAGTCTGGGCCTCTCCACATCGCCATGGAGCAACTCACCGTCTTCGGCCTGGACGATCCCTCGCTGTCGTTGCCGCCTCCCCCTCCTCCGCCGGTGTCACTAGCTCAGCACCTCCGGAACCTGGAGTCGGATGCTTCCTCCTCGCCTCCTCCTTCCCCCGCCGCTGGGCCTGGGCCCGTGCCCGGGCTCGAGCCGCTGGCCGTGCCCGGGCCACCCCTCCTCCTGCAGGGCCCGGTGAGCGGGAGTCAGCAAGGAGCAGTCCCGGCTCCGTGTCCTTGCCCGACCACCGCTCCTGGCGCCGCCGCCGCAGCAGCAGCAGGAGGAGGTGGTCTGCCCCTTGTTTCTTCTGTCCTGGCTCTGTTCGAGGCCGAGCAGATCCAGCTCCAGCAACAACAACCCCGAAAGAAGAGCGTTAACATGACCGAGTGTGTGCCGGTGCCTAGCTCCGAGCATGTCGCCGAGATCGTGGGCAGGCAAGGTGAGTAAGGGAGCAACTGGAGCTGCCTGAGCTAGTTCCTGCACCTCTCCATCTTTATCTGTGCTCCACTCTGTCTCCTATCCAACGTTTCCCGTTCCCATTCAATGTTTTTATTTTCCGTCCATATCTCCAATCCTATCATCTCTGTCCCTGCATTTCTCTCTTTTTTCCCCATCTTATTTTGTCTTTTCTCCGCCTACCAATGCCTTCGCTCTTTGTTTCCTTGACTCTCGTCTCCACCCATCTTTTCCTTATCTCACCGAGTTCCCTTTTCAGGTTTCTTTTATTCCTCTTTTGCTCGTGTGTACATGAGCAAGGTTAATATTTTAAATTCTCAATAGTGACACTTAAATTTTTGAGCATTCTTTGAGTTGTCTGCATTCTTTAAGTGAGATTCACTCGTATAGGTTTAGATCTCCTACTCTGCATTTTTTTTAAACTAGATAGTACCTGGCTCTTGTTATTGTTATTTGAAGCCATTTTTCTGACTGCACTAATGCTCTGAAAATGGTCCAGATAAATAGCCGAGCAAGCATCCAAAGATGTTGTGTGTCTATGTATACGTTTTCTGTATCCATAAATTGAGTGGAACATAAAAGAAGTTATGCCAAGGATACAGTGATCGTGAAAAAGATCCCTGCCAAGTAAAAGTGTTAATATAAATTCCAATGTGTCTTTGAATTTGAAAATGTTAACTGGTCACAGAATTTTGAGGTGTGAGGCTGTGTAAGTATTTGTATAACCTGCTTTTGTTTGCAGTGATTTGATAAGAAACACCGTAACTTGCAAAATAACAAGGGTGCATATGCCAGTAGGTCTATCCTCAATATCAGAAAGAAAATCTGTGCCCCGAAGCTTAGACTGTAAAGTATCAGATGTTGAGAGCAAAATTTTAACTTGAAATCATTCCCTAAATTGAAAACACATTTGGTGTGCATTTTTTGGTGCTAACCTCTGACTAACAGGTGTGTTAAAGCCATGTTATCTCTTTTTAAATTATCTAAACTTCATTTTTTGCTTAAAAAAGAGCAAGTGCCTCAGAATATTACCTAGTTTCCTGTACCCTGACAAGTCAAAATGTGTAAAGCAATTATTTTCACAATTTAGGATTTGATTATCTCAATGTATATTAAGCTTTTTGTTGTATCCAAACTTTATCAACTGTGTTAATTACATTTGGTGTCTTCAGCCTACATGATAGGTATAGATAGCAATTTGCATGTCTGCTTTGAATCATTCGTGCCTCAATATATAAAACTCATCATTACCTGCTGTTGTCCCTAATTCTATTACTACACGATCTTGATATTGCCAAACCATCACAATTCAATGTGTATAGAGTCATAGAATCATACAGCACAGAAGCACAGCAGGTGCTGGAAACCTGAAATAAAACAGTGATGGAGAAATTCTGCAAGTCTGGCAACATCTATGGAGAAAAGCAAAGTTAAAGTTTCGAGTCTAATATGACTCTTCAGGAAGGTCATTTCAGCAGAGTGCAGTACATACCAGATGGGTTCTCAATAGGGAATGATTTAAATTTAAAATTTTACCAAAAAAGTGCTCAAAATCCAATATTTTGCAGGGTAAATTTGGGGATACAGATTTCCTTTCTCAGATCAAGAACAAGATCCACTTTTAGGTGCACCTTTTTTTTTCATGCAGTTCAATGTTTTGTTCTTTCAAACATAGATTTCCCATTTCAAATGTGGTTTCTGAACCTTTTTAAAAAAAAACTTACATATCTTTGTATTTGTAGGAAGCCATGAATTAAGTCCTTTTGTAGTTAGTAATCCTTTGCAACACATTGACCCTGTATTTCCTCATCCAATGTTGCATTCCCACTCGTGTTCCCCTTGTGCATAGAAGTAGCCTAACGGATCAATGTGAAACTTGAAAATTTGCAGCTTAAGTTTGCAACAAGGTTCAAAGTTTCCATTTCAATAGAAACTCATGTCATTGAATGTGGAAGATGTTGTTTGTCAGAGACATTAAAAATTATCCTAATTCGGGAGGTCAGTCTATTGCTCAGTTACACTCTCTCAATCTGATTAATTCCCTTACAAGGAGCTGCTTATAAATATAAATGGAGTGTATTTAAGTTTCGTGTTCTGATTTAATTTTTAAAAGTTTGTTGGTGTTGATATAGTGCCTTTACATGATCACAGATCTCGGGAGGCTTTACAGTCAATTAATTACTTTGTGTGGCCATTGCATGAAATGTGCTGGTCGGTTTGCCCGTGCCAAGTTTCCATAGAAAGTGGTATGATAATGACAAGTTAGCCTGTTTTTTAGTGATGCTGATTGAGAGAATCATTAGCTAGAGCACTAGGATATGACCCCTGCATGTTTATGTAGCAGTGACATGGGATCACTTGCATTTATCTGAGAATGCCCCAATTTAACATCTTGTCTGAAATATGACAATACCAATGCAGTCCTCCATCAGTATTGCGCTGGTGAGTGAACCTTGAATTTTGAACTCCTGTCCCTGGTATGCTGCTACTCTCGTTTAAACCCATTATTTGGTTGCATCACGTCATGTGCAACAAAGTTGACGTAAAGCCACATTTGTGATGTGATAGTGTGGCAGTCCTGGCAAAACAGGAAGTAGAGGGGATCAAGGGGAAGATTTTTCTACTTCAAGTCATACCTGGCCCAAAGGAGGAGGGTTACCATTGTTGGAGGTTAATCATATCGGTACCGTAACATCTCTGCATGAGTTTTTCACAAGCTTCTAATATGTTCTACCTGTTCAGAGATATTACTACATTTCTCTGGAACAGATGGGACTTAAACTCGGGCCTCCTAGCTCGGAGATAGGGACAGTATCCCTGCACCACAAGAGCCCCAGTAGTTCAGGGCTGTGCCCTTGGCTCAGCCACTTTCGGCTTCTTCATCACTGACCTTCCTTTCATATAAAGCCCGAAGTGGGGGTGATTGCAGGCCAGAAACTCAACTGGACTATCCATTCAAATACAGACTACAAGAGCAGGTTAAAGCCTAGGAATCCTGCCGCAACTAACTCCAGCACCTGACTTCCCAAAGCCTGTCCTCCATCTAGAAGGTACTAGTCAGAAGTGTAATGAATGGATGAGTGCAGCTCCAACAACACTCGAGAGGCTTGACTCTGACAAGGACAACAAAGTCACATTGCTGGAAAAGCTCAGCAGTTCTGGCAGCACCTGTGGCGAGAAATCAAGATTAATGTTTCCAGTCCAGTGACCTTCCTTGAGAACTGATCATAGCTAGAAAAAAAGTTGCTGCTTTTATGTAGAAGGTAGGGTGTAGGGGAGTGGGTAAAGGGTAAACAATAGGTGAAGATAGAGTCCAGAGGGAGAGAAGAACAGTTGGACAAAGGAGTGGATAACGGTCAGTCGAGGAGAATGAATGGGGGACTAATGGGTGCTATTAGTGGCTAACATTGGGTAGGGTGTAATAGCAGGCCATGTGTGCAGACGGGGGTGTGGGATGTTGGGGTAAGGACACGAAAGAAGGTACTTCAAGCCTTAAAATTGTTGAACTCCATTTTTGAGTCCAGGGGGCTGTAAAGTTCCCAAGTGGAAAATGATGTACTGCGAATACTGCGGCGAGTAACTCCCCTCCTGACTCCTCAAAGCCTGTCCACCATCTGCAAGGCACAAGTCAGGAGTGTGATGGAATACTCCCCACTTGCCTGGATGAGTGCAGCCCCAACAATACTCAAGAAGCTTGACATCATCCAAGACCAAACAGCCCGTTTGATTGGCACTACATCTACAAGCATTCACTCCCTCCACCACTGACGCTTAGTAGCAGTAGTATATACTATCTACAAGGTGCACTGCAGAAATTCACTAAAGATCCTCAGACAGCACCTTCCAAACCCACAACCACTTCCATCTAGAAGGACGAGGGCAGCAAAATCCCAGTGTATCGATGGTAGAGAATTCAGTGGTAATGTTGTTGAAAGTCATGGGGAAATAACTATCCAGGTGAAGACTCAAATTTTTAAGTACTTAACAAGAAAAGGAAGAGATTTCCTTTTCAAATCCTTGCTGTTGGTACATAGGACTTGGCTATAGAACTGAGTAAATTCGTGTGTTGCTCCCCATTTTATCCTAGAAAGTATTAAATATTTATACCTGAGCAGATTCTATAACACTCATACAATACTACCAGGGGTATAGAATGCTGGTTGTTGCTGGATAACAGCTTGCTTAATTGCCTGGGAGTTGAGATGTCATGTATCATGTAAAGGGTGAAATTGAAAGCATAAACTGTACCTTCTGCAGATGCCTTATTTTCTCAGCTTGAAAATAATTATGGGACAAGTAATTCTATTAATTAACAATTGGGCATGTTCTGTAAAATAAATAGGGAGAAATGGGGAAGTTAGTATTTGAAGTGGAAGGAAATGTGATCTATAACATTGTCTTTCCCTATGTGAATAAAGTGGATTAATTTTCATACTGTTGGCTGAGGGTTGTTGAATGAGTTGCAAGTTTGTATTCCGCACGGAACAGATTGAAACCAGTGCATTGCTATTCTGCCTATCTGAACGGAATGATTGGATCATTTTCAGGATGACAGGCTGTTACTATTTGGGGTACCAAGGATCAGTGCTACGTTCACAACTATCCGCAATCTATATAAATAGTTTGGATACGGGGACCACTTAGAAATATTTCTAAATTTTGTGACACCAAGTTGGATGGGAACCTAAGTTGACGCTTCAAAAGAACTTGGGTAGGCTCAGTGCATTGGCTACAAAATGTGAGCTTCTTTCATTTCTTAAGCAAAAACAGATGCAGACTATTTTAAATAGTGAGAAGTTGGGAAGTGTGGCTGTCCAAAGGGATTGGGTGTGCTGGTCTTGCTGCAGTTGTTTCGAGCCCGAGGTCTGGTATACAGTTTTTATCCCCTTCATCTAAGGAATTATATACTTGCCATGGGAGGAGGGTTCTCTGGTAATATCCATATCACTCGGTGAATATGTCCATGTTCAAGTCCCACTACAC